GAGAGAGGGAGGGAGATGGAGAGAAAGAGGAAAGAATCAAGGCGGGGCAAGCAAAGCCGCAGGATTCACGGGCGACCCAGAGAGAGAGAGAGAGAGAGAGAGAGAGAGAGCTCACGTGGTGCATGCAGGGAAAATGAAACAGCGAACACCGAGAAGAGCGCCTGAACTTCAGCGTCTTTGAAGCAGCTTGATGGGACTGATGTCCTCGTAAGGGGGCTGTCTGTACGCCGGGAAAACATTCTCTTATTTAAAGGGCAGTTTAATTCAAGTTATGCCTGTGCTGCTAGGAATACACAATGTGTTTTCACACTTCCTACAAACTGATTTCAAAAACCCGTTTTACAGGATACCTTTAAACCTGTTTTAAGGGAACGCCGTGTTCTGCAGCCCTTAACTTGATTAAGTGCTCTAATCCAGACTGCAAACTCTCATTGCAGTCTGAATTTCCACCCATTTTGGATCTGTACCCACCTTAAAACTGGAGTTGCACCCTGCCTCCTACACTGTCCTTGTTATAGCACTTTGTGAACATGGAAAAGGACACAGCTTTAACCTAATATTTCAAAATTCTTATTTTAAAATATACGCTCCTGTCTTTACACTGTTCTAACAGAACTTTTGGTTGTACTGGTGAAGCAGAGGTAAATTCTGCACTGAAAAGCAATGTTTCAGCTTTGGAATTTCTTAAGAAGTGTATGTGTCTTCAGGTACAGTATGTTTGACACACCTGAAAATGGCTTCACCTTTAAACCACTGTGTTTTTCCTTCTTTTCCTCTTATTTTTAATAAAGAATTGATCTGATCATTTTTTAGTTTCCTTTTTTTAACAACCAACACAAGCTTCAAAGAATCGACGGAAGCGAGGCAGCAGTAAAACACTTCTTCTGAACAACCAAAAGCAAAAGCAAAATCCCAGAAGTAGAAGAAAAAAAAAAGAGAAGTTCTAATATGCAGTCAAGGAAACCAAATCTCACTAAATAGAATACTAAAACTATCCTGGCACCCAAACAAGAACCCCCAACTTTACCTTTAAATTCCTACAGAATTTGACTCAAGCAGTCTGATCAGCATCACTACAGTGCTTTGCGTTCCTCGTATCTGTCTGCTTGGGTACTACGACCCCAGCTGCCTCACTCACAGAATGGAAGAAAGTTACACCCCTGTTCTTCAGAAAGAAATCTCTATCGCGTTTTTGAAATCCCACTGCAGTTCAAAGCCAACAGATAGCCCTGTACCTGGCTCAGACTGAGTGCAGGTGCTGTTGAATAAGAGGAATACCTTGGTGGACTGAGTGCCGGCTCACAGGAAGTTCAGGTTTCCAGGAGGAAGGGTCACAGACACACAGACAAGCCCACGCTTGGACAAGGACATGAAGAAGGGAAACTCTTTGAAGCAAGAGGAACTGAGAGGAGCTACACCAGCTCCAAGACACCCTTTCCCTGCCTGACTGCATCTCAGCCCCAAGCCCCACAATCCTGTTGCCACCCCCTGTCCTGTACTTACCCACACCTGTAAGGAAAGAAAACCCCCAGAGAGTCACATCGCTGCAAAATCGTCAGCAGTAAAGAACAAACTTGCTTGAGCCAAGGGTTTGCAGTAGCCTGTGTCAGCTGTCATGCTGAAGATAAAGATCTGTTTCGGGGCATATTTTTAAAAGTAAAAAGGGAAGGATTACGACACTGCAACTGAGACATCATTATTAAATCTCAAGTTATGAGCCACAAATACAAAAACAGTCTTGGTTTTGTCACACTTAATCTTGCTGAGCTGCTGACTCATCTCTTGCTGTTTGGGTTCAACTGAAAGCGTTTTAAATATTACCACATTCTCGAGAGAAAAAAAGAAAATCGCTATATTAGGCTTGAGAATATTTTTGAGTGCTATGACATTTTTGTTTTAAAAGCATTTGCTGATCTTTGAAGAGCTGAGTCACACAACTCAACTTTAAAAAGGGTAACTGCGAGAAAGCCTTCTCTGCGATTTCCTGCTGTTCACTTTCTCCACCCAAAATGAAGTAGCATGTATGTAAACTATGAAACTACAAATTAGGCGAATTAGTGCAAAGCAACACAAAAATCTTCCATTTTAAAGCAGTTCTACAGCTTTTAGGGAGTAGCGGTTAAAAATGCATGCTGGTATGAGGTACAGTGTGTTGATGATCATTCTATTATCAAGCAACCCAAGTCACAGCCCTGGAATATGAGGAGACATCGCCACCTTGTGGAATATATGCAAACAACTCTGATGTTCGGTTCAAAAAGACGAGTTACACTTCAATGTTTTTCAAATAGTCAAAGTAACTTATTTTAGGCATTTTAGTTTTGGTTAACCGACCATTAAATTTTACACAGCAAATGTCTGGATTTATAACATATACTATACCAGAAACCACAAGTGGAATGTCTCTCCACAGTCCACATCATCTCTGCTGAAGGAGAAATGAAGGAATGAAGGAGGTCATTTCCATTCAGTCATGGGAAAAACCTACAAAAGAATGAAGGAGGTCCAATGGAGCAGAGATAGATCTCCATCATTCTTTTGAATATTTTCTATTCAGTCATGCTATATCCCAGCATTCCCAGCATCTGGGGAATTCGTTCTGGGAACGTGCGCCCTCGAGCCTCAACACAGTTGAAGCTGGCTCTTGGCTACTTTCGAGGTTGAGCGTTTGTTCTTTTCTACAGGACCGTGAGAGAGAAATGAACAAGCCAAGCGCTCCAGTTCAGTGCTACAAACCGACACAGCCCACACTATTAACACACCTCTTGTGCCAACACCCAGACCCCTGCAGTTCCAGCTCCACACCCTAAGAGACTCACCCACCTCAGCTCACCCAGCTGCCTCTGTGCCTGTCTCATGGTGTAGATTCCAAAGCACAATCCAGCCGCTTTTACAGACTCTGACTATCACTAATGGAGGTACACCTAGGTAACTATAGGTACATTTTGGTTAATTTGGGAAAACTACTTTGGGACTATTCCTAATCAGAGCCCATGAAACTGCCTTTTAATGTTGCAGTACTGCTCACAACTTGTGTGTACCATCTATTTTAATATCACAGATTCCATGCATGCACGCACACTACTGCATTTCTATTTTTCTGTGACCACTTTTATATCCATGACCAATTAGCAGGTATTGTTCTCCACACAAAAGCCCTGATGTACACCATTTTGGGCATTTTAGCTCCTTCTTCACACTCAGGCATCCTCATGCCCGAACCATGCAGTGAGCCCACTCCCCCTTCTTCTTCCTCTCTCCCACCCATGTTGCAGCTTCATCTTGGCACAGCACAGCTCACAGCAAGCCCCTCGCCCCAGACAAGCATTTCAGTCAAGCCCCACGCTCAGCCCCCTCTTCTTTTAGTCAGCCACTGTATGATTACGGACTCAATCGCCTAGGTTAAAAATGGATTTGCCACCGATATGATCAGAAAAGTGGTACAGTAAGTGAGACTTTGAGGAGTTGTAGTCCACTCGTTTAAGAATGTCTGGTTAAAAATGTAGACCAAAGTAATACTCGTTGAGTCCAGGCTTGGCACAGCGCAGCTGTCCTGGTTACCTTGCTGCGGGCGGGCAGTTTGCTCTCGCTGTCGGACTGCTCGTCGTAGCTCTCGAACTCACTGGAGCTCCACCCTTCGTGATCCGCCAGGTCTTCCTCCCTGTTCACATCCTCGTAAATCAGGTCTTCTGCTGGACATAACCCAGAAAAAAAAAAACCACGTCAGCACCAGGAGGCAGCCCGGGGCCACAACCTGACCATCCCAGGACTACAGCACCTTCCTGCAACAGAAAACCTCCATAAAGCAGATGGTGTTGAGGCAGCTGTTGTGCTAAATGGTACTTAAACCTACAGTAGTCTGCAGCCTGTGCTCAATTGTCTTTGAAAGAACTAAAATCTATCAGGGGACACGGTGACACAGTGGTCAGAATTCTGCCTCGCAGTGCAGGTGCCCTGGGTTCAATTCATGGGGTGGGTGGGGTTGCGTGGAGTTTGCATGTCTGTGTTTGTTTCCTCCAGTTACTCTAGTTCCCTCCCACAGTCCAAAGACATGCTGGCCGGTTAACTGGCTTCTGGGCGAATTAGCCCTGGTGTGCATGTTTGTGTCTGGTTGTATTCCCTGCTGTGGACTGGTGTCCCATCCAGGGCGTACCCTGCCTTGTGCCCTTGGCTTCCCGGGACAGGCTCCAGCTCTCCTGCAACCCTGTATTGGATAAAGCGGTTCGAAGATGGATAGATAGTAGGCTATCTACAGTAGCTCAGCATGTGCTTCACACCTCATGTCACATGGCACCATACAACAACAAACATTTCTCTGCAGTAACTATCCTCGATTTTATCAGTGAAATTACTTTGCCCTTTTTACCACATTATCACAATTAACAAAGAAGTGCATTAACACAGCTATTGGTTTAAAATTGTTCTGTATCAAACTAAATATCAATCATGAAAATAACAACTGCAACTGTTAACAATTCAACATGTAATTCACTCTGAGGATGTTAACACATACAAGAAACCCTTAATACTCTGTACATTCTGATGTCACCCTTTAATGCCAGTTTGATTAGGAGAGGTATAGACACCGAAGATACTGTATCTAATTTATATTTACGTCTCGGCAGCACAGACAAATATTAATCAATGAAAAAGAGCCCAGTTTCTGATACTGCTTGAAATAAACAACAAAATAAAAAGCAAAAAAAAAACATTCGCACATTTCTTTTAATGTTCTGCAACATTAAAAACTATTTGCCTGCCAGCAGCAGAACGGTAAAGACTTACTGTTTTGTTAAGTTGAAAATTCTGTCATGTCCGTTACAAAGCTTTTATTATTTATACAGGTCATGATGGGCATTGCCACATAACCTTTCTAACAGGCATGTCAGGCAGGTTGATTTATAGTCAGAACATCAGCAGAGACGTACATCTGACAGGAGATAACCTAAGGCAGACTTCTATGTCTCTAATGAAATTGTAGTGAACTTCAGGAGGAGGAAATTCGAAAGGGAGTAATTTAACTTGACTCCAGCTGTTAATTCAAAGGACACTTTCCTAAAGAGCAACTGTAGTATTGGAAATCACTGTTTTACACATAGAATCATTACTGGATGGAATAAACTGTCAAACCACATACTTCAGTTCTGATGTGTGATCGGCTAGGAAAACAGCAAATCCTCTCATGCGCAGCGTAGCCTGTTGTCGAGATCCTAGTTAAAGCCAGAGTTTCGCCAGTCACCCTGCAGTCTTTCTACAGCTCACCTTGTGTCGGAGCTGGAAGATTTTCACAGGGGACGTCATCGTAAATCACCTCGGGGCTCTCGCGGTCCGGTTCTGCAGCGGGCTGGGCTGAAAGGAGATGCAACAGCTAGCTGTTAGCCCTTCAGTCAGTGGCTCTGCTGCACGGGAGCAGGCAGGTGAGATCGCTGCGCCACTCGTTTGCTGGGCAGCTTAAAGCACAGTGGGGCCCCAATGCCCATGTCCCCCGTTCAGCCGTGAGCCTCCTGGCTATGGCAACTTGTCTTGTCATTCCTGCACAAGCTGGACATGTAGAAAAAAAGACAGCAAACTGTTTTAGAAATTGCATCAGCACACAGGAGTTGTTTAGCAGTGTCTCTGCCTTTCTGAGCCCTCTATGACAAACTGAAGCATGCATTTCTTTTGCACAATATCAGTGATAAGCTGGTTACAGGCACTTAGACTTTCACCATTATATTCAAGGGTTAATTGGTCATGACTGTCTTCATTTCACCTGTGTGCAATATCATCCACAGCTATTTCATATCATATAAAATACTCAGGCTGAGTATCATAATGTGCTCTGAAGAAAAGAGGAATTGAAGTCTTGTTTCATTTCAGTTAAGACCTACTGAAGTACTTTTACAGCATTTTAGGTGGATTTACCTTGGTATGACCCTGAATAATGATTGGAAAGCAATGTAAAAACAAACAACCAGTTTTCCACTATTACAACTCTTTCACACAAAAGTACTACGAACTGGTTAAATTTAGCCACGGAGTTGCCTCTTACTGTATACCCATAAATACAACATTGTAAAAAGGCTTCTACTTACCTCCCACAACTCTCTCTGTGGTTGTTAAATAATCACGAACACAGTTAGTTTTATTGAAGCTTGGAAAAACTGTACAGCAGAAAGTTACCAAATTAAGTAATACAACATATTGTAGGCACACCACACACGATATTGATTTTGGAACAGCTTTGTCTTGTTTTTAGGAGGCATTCACATGCAGTATTTTTTATACTTCATTAAGTAACAAAGCAAGCTTTTGATAACAGCCCAGGCTCTGCAGACTTTTTATGTCTTTTTAAACCTGAGATAAAATGAAGGAATGGGCTTTGATTGGTGTGCAATTTGTGACACAAGAAAAAAAAAAGCTGTATTTCAAAAGGTCCCTTAAGCACAGAGTTACTGTAAATTATTTCATGATCAGCACAGAAATGCAAACACCCCTTCATTTAAATTTTCAGTACAATAAAATTATACTTAGTTTGAAAATTTTATGAAAGCTTTAAAAACCTACTTATGAACATTTTAAAATACAGCAGTGAACTGCAGAGTGAACTGCACTTTCAGCTTTATCAGGAAGACTGTGAGTAGAGAATAGAGCATTTTATTCTCTTCTGCCAGTTCTAAGCTTTTCCCAGTAGGTCACACCTTGCAATGGCTCAGCGAAACATTCATGAAATGAATGAATAAAGATCGCAAACCCACTGCTCAAAAAGACTGTAGATCAGGCACTGCTAAAACAAGTAAATGTTATTAGAATAGAAGCATTTGCAATATAGAGAGAGCTGGAAAAGCGCAAAGCTAAAAGCAAACAGCAGGAAATAAAGAGATTATAAGGATAATCTAGCTATTGAAGGATTGGCTAGGTCTAGTGTTCATACAGCTGTTTTACAGAAGCAGATTCTAAGGGTAAAAAGCAAATGTGTGGTTTTCAGAATATAGGTATACTGTATATTGATTATGCCATCTTGGTTTTTGAACAATTGATTTCTAAAATGTCTAATTATGTACTGATCCTAACAACCCAGCCTGGTTGTTGCTGTTTTATTGCGATCTTTATTTCTAGTTATGTTGCTTTCTATAACTAGAAATACAGATGAAAATTTTAAAAGACAGGAAATGTTACCAACAAGCTTTCCTTTTATGGCTCATTTCTAAAAAGAAAATTTAAAAAGAAGGCATAAATAAGATATTAGTCTGTCAACTTGTATCTATTATTGCTGAAGAGGAACATGCTGACTTCCTTTTGTGTCAGCAAATTTGATTTGATGATTTTGGCCATACAGAAGCGTGTATAAATCATATAGCAAGACATTAAATGCTTTCCTGAGTGGGACTCGAAGACATTGCCAAATGCAAAGATGGGTATAAACATAGCCGGGGCAATCCAGTCACAGGCACTGCACAGCACTTTGAAGCACAGCTCTGTAGCACAATATTGTCATGTACAAAATCACCAATGTGTTCAGAACAGGGCATTCCCCTCACCTCAGCTGTATGTTTTTCCATTCCTTCTTCTACTTTACCTATCACATGTAGTGCCCTGTTCCCTCTACCTACACTCCTTAATAGATGGTACAATTGCTTGCTCCTATCTTAATCTGCACTAGTGTTCCTAACTGTGAATTCTGCTGCATAATCACAACCCACTGGCACCTTTACTGATGTGCGCAGCCTAACCTAACCCTGGTAATGTGGTATGAGCAGGCACTCCATCCTTTAAGAAATTTTGAGAACGATAAATGCTTATAAAGCTTCAAAACAACATAACACATTATTATCGTGTTTTTTGTATCAACATATGAAACAAAAGATTTTATGTCCCTCTGAAGTTGGAATTGTTTAAATAACATAACATACGGTACAATGCATCACTGCTTGATCACTTAGTACATGAATAGACACTTAATACTAACATGAACAAACTAATTGAGCAAAACTCCCAAAACTGTATCTGAAAAACCTCTGGAGTATTCAGGCAAAACGATTTATTTAAGGCTAATTTAAGGTTAGACTTTCAGTCAAAAGGCTCATAACAGAAGTCAGACATTACATCCAAAACCCGTCCAACAACTTTTGGGTGGTGAGCTGGGAATAATGCACCATGAAAGAGAATTCCTCTGAATGGAAAATTATGAGGCTGTAATTCTCACAGCTGATTCAGGGCTGTGGGGCTGCTGTGTGGTTCGTGGGGTTTCTGAGACACACTGGTGATGCTGATGGAGAAGCAGGGGTGGCAGAGGGGAGGTGGCCAGGATTGCCTTTGAGCTACAAATGGTGCAGCTACCGCAGACAGCTGGCCTGGGCAGGATGGTACCTTTGTGCAGGAAGGCAGAGAGCTCTGATACCACACTGAACCACTCATCCCGGGCTCTGGCTTTGCCTGGGCAGACAACAGAACGGACAGCGTCAATGCAAGAGCCCTGTCCTCCAAGCTGATTCCCTGGGATCCTTCAAGAAAGTGCTTGATGAGATTCTTGGATCAATGAGAAAAAGGGTCATAGCACCCCCATTAAACAAGCTGATGTGACATCAGCTGCCAATAGAGAACCTCGTCCGAACACTTAGTGATTTTACACATATTGCTTTTTTGTTTTTCATTGGAAATTAAAAATCTTGTTTCTTGTGTATCATTTAAGATCAGTATGTAACGATACTTGATTTTGTAAACGTGAATATGCAAAGCTGCCAGCAGAGAGACACTGACCAGAGCTGGATCTATTGCATTTTAGGGTTTTTGGTGATGTTCTGATGATACAGGGACTCATGGACTTTAGAAAGACAGCAATTGTTTTGCAACAGTTCGCCAATTTCAATATCGCATGACAAGGTACAAAATCTTTCCCTTGCTTTGCAACTAGATTAAAGATTACTGATCTTCATATTTAGATTTTTATTTAGATGAGGAGCAACTAATCTATAAGCTTTATTGAGACTTATTTTCTAGTTAGTAACCATGTATATGTAAAATATTCCATCCCTCCATAATGTAGTTACAAGTTTATTTCCACTTAAGAGCATTAAAAATCCATGAAATATTACAATGTTTCAATCAAAATCGAGAGGATTCATTTTGTACTTTCATCTAAGATGTATATAATTGATCATGGTTTTTATTCAAATTACTTTCTAGTAGCAGAAAATTGTCAAGAGCTACACAGAAAGACTAGCACCACCCATGAAAGATGAGAATATATCTTTCCCACAGAACACTGAGCAGCAGAAGTTTAAGATAATGATGTTGTGGTTCAAAGTATCAAAGTTTCTACCTTTTATTGTTTTTTT